GCTGAATCATGATTTATAAATTAAGCGCAGATGAAGCAACGCCGGGAGGCTGAGCCTTCCCCATTTCGGAAAGAGCCTCGCTTATAAATTATATATGTTTTAGTCTAAATGAAAATTGCCGTAGGACAGCATTTGGTCACAAACTGCAGGATTGGGTTATACTGGCGGCTTTAACTACCAACTGTAAATACGCCAGAAAAATGGAGGTTTGCTTGAGAAAACATATTTAAAGCATTATAGACTGGCTCCGAAGGAGGAAGCCTGTCAGAATAAATACTCCATGAATGCTGTGCTTGGAGCCCCGGGGAGTATTATTCTTATATAAATGATTCCTACTCTTTAGGGAGAAACCACTGCTATTTTCCTTCAATTTTCTTAATTGCTGACAAGGGCGACTGTGTTAGTCCAGCAGAAAACTCACATTTTCGAGGCTTTTAAAAGCTTTCCGTTCTTGGCTTTATAGCACAGCCAGGGCCGGGGGGGACAGCGGGAGATGAAAGCCCCGTCTCCGCGGTGACCTTCCTCTGGGACCGTGTACCCTGGGATGCGTTACATCCCACCCGGGCCGGTTCCCCAGGGCTGGGGCAGCCTTGCTGTGGCTCTCAGGCTCACGCCATGACCGTTGTCCTCGTGGGCACAGGAAGCACCGGCACAGCGAGGGTCCTGCAGCATCCGTGGTCCAGGGAGCGGTGCCCGGGAGTGGCATGGAGCAGGGCTCTGACCGGGAGACACCCGGGAAGACCTGCTAATTGAGCTCTGGCCACTGGCCACATTCGATTTCCCCTGATTCAAGCTTGTGCTGGACAGGGGCTTGGGTGAGCTGGGAGCGTGCACTGGGTTGGAGTTTGGGGAATAGCATCTTCCCCTCTGTCATGGGTGTGAGGGTGGAAACTTCCAGCTCTTGTGCCTTTATCTTTGGTTTGCTCTGTTGCAGGTCAGCATCGCCACCCCGAAACAGAAGCCGAAAACTCCATTCTGCTTTGGTGAGTTGTGGGACTCCTGGCCCTGGCAGGGCTCTGCTGGGGTGGGGGGGGACACCTTGCTGTGGGAGCTGCGGCTTTGGTGCCTCCCCATGACCCCCCCCGACTGCTGCTGGGCAGACCCGCAGACCTGGCTGCAGCATCTGGGAGGGAAGGGGATGCCACAGCCCTGTGCGGTGGCTCTACCACTGTGACCCCCACGCAAGATGCGCAGGACGAGCCTGGTGAGGGAGGCAGGACCCTGTGGGTCCCCCCCACCTTCTTTCACTGGGCTCCTGACTCCCTTCAGTGCCCCATTGCGCTGTGGTGTGCAGTACAGGTTTTTTGCCTTTTTAATGCCAGCATAACCTTGTTGGTGCAAGGAAGGGGAATTTCATATCCAATTCCCCACACCCCAGACCTCAGCCTGGCCCTCGCTGCCTCAGTGCCTCGTGTGTGAGCCATGAGCTTGAGTTTAAAGAAGCAGAATGGCAGCACAAGCCCATACTTGTTCCAAAGGATTGGTGTTGATTTCGCAATACTTTACTACGAGGGTTGTAGCCCAAGAAAAGACCAGAGAACACGTCATGTCACCGTGTGGGATGGGATTGATCCGGCGGAACCCGGGGCAGCAGAGCCTGGCACGTGAGGCTGGTGTGAGTTTCAAAAGTCATAGAATCACAGAATGTTTTGGGTTGGAAGGGACCTTAAAGTCCATCCAGCCCCACCCTCTCCCTGGGCAGGGACAACCAGGTTGCTCCAAGCCTCATCCAACCTGGCCTTGGACACTTCCAGGGATGGGGCAGCCACAGTTTCTCTAGGCAACCTGTCCCAGTGCCCCCCTCACCCTCTCCAGGAAGAATTTCTTCTTTTGTGGAGTATCTCCAGGGTTTTGGTGCCGAAACCCTCCCAGAGCTTCCTCTGACCCATCTGGCTGCGGGGCAGGAGGCAGCACTCGCTGGGGGGTCCATGGGGAGTGTGTCCCCAAGGAACTTCCCAGATCCAACGTGGGGTTTGCACCGGCATTGCAGCCGAGGGTTAAAACCCAAGCGCTGAGTGGAGGAATTCCCAAGGGACTCTCCAACGCCCCACGCGAGGGTCTAACTTCAGCACTGGATGAAGTCCTAGTTTGGGCCATGCCAGAGCCTGGGTTTAAGCCTGGCTTCAGCCTGGCCTAGGCTAGTGCAAGGATGCGTGTTGCCCCCTCCAGGTGCCTCATCCCCCCTTCCACACCCCTCAGCCACTTTTCCATGCGAGAGGACCGATACCTGCAAATCGCCCTGGGACGGGGAGTCGAGAGATGCTGTCGTGTGGATCTCTTGTGTAATTGGGTTGAATAACACTAAGCACTGGATTGGGGCTCCCTAACTCTTCGTTCCCTTCTCTGGTAGTTATCAACGCTTTGTCTCAGCGCTATTTCTTACAAGCCAGTGATCAGAAGGACCTGCAGGACTGGGTGGAGGCGCTGAACCGGGCCAGTAAGATCACGGTAGGTTGCATTATGCTTATCTCTGGAATTGTGTCCTGCCTTGATAGGCCACTGGATAAGCGCCTGGAAGAGCTGGGCTTTTCCTTCTTGCTGTGCTCTCCTCCTCCGTTGCCTCCCGGTCCCACCTGAGGAGCAGCAGTGGTGTGGCTGGGCTGTCCCTTGCCCAGGAGCAGGTCCTGGTCAGACGTGCCAGGCTTTCTTCTGGGATAGAGCCGAGGCTGCGCTGGGAAAAGGAGGAAGCGCAGCTCTTGGCTGATGGCTGCAGCGTCTTGTCCTTCCAGAGCCAGGGGGATGTTCTGTCCACCGTGCCCAGGGATTCTCCTGGTCAGGATTTACTTTGCTGCCCTCCTGCATCTTTGCCCTCCCTGCCCAGATGCTGGGGGCTCCGGCAGCTGCCACCCTGGGGAAGGTCCTGCAGGAGCCATCCCGGTTCCCGCCTGCTCCGGGGACATTTCTCTCCTGTCGCTCCTGCTGCCTGGGATCACTCATGAGCGACTCCTCGCTGCAGCTGTCAAAGGGCTGCTTTCTTGTGCTTCAATAATTTATTTACTCCATTTTTGTCCTTCCTGGAGCGCTGGATCTTGTGCTGAGGCGTAGCGGATGCCCTGCACGTCAGGGCATCGCGGGGCGGGTTATGCCTGGATCCGAAGGAGTTAGTCTGCCGTCTCCTCTTATCCACTGCTGCGTTCATATAACCGTAAATTAATGGTCACTGACCCGGTAACTCGCGGAGTCTGTGCTCCTGGCGATGAGGGAGGATGCTGCGCTCCCTGCTCGTGCAGCGGGAGCACCGCCCGCACGCTGCGGGCTTGGTGCTCGGTTGGCAGCACCTGTACCCTGGGACTCCTGGGTTCGGGGTGCGCAGGGTGGCTTCTTCCTGGACCTGGGATGGAGTGGATCCCTGCAGAAGGGTCGGGGGCTTCTGTGTACCTGGCATGAGCGGTATCGCCGATGTTTAATGCTTGCAGGGTTTTACTGACCATGCACTGATGTGTGTTCCTTGTGGTTGGTAAGGAAAAGTCATGGCCAATGGTTTAGGAATTGGGGCTAGCAAATAGGCTAGGTCTATTTCTTCAAGCTTGATGTTTAAAATCCCTGGAGCATTGTGTTGTAGTCCCTGTGGGAAAGCCTTCTACAAGACCAGACCTGGCTTGTATTTTCTTTTTTTTTATAATCTGCAAATACACTAAATGTGACAACCCCTGCGCCCAAAGCCACCAAACTGCCTGCACGGGTTCTGGCTTGTACCTTCTCTTTTATGGGTTCAGGTGATACTGGCTACTAAAAAAACCCTCCAAAACTGGGTCAGAGCTGTTGTCAGAGCCTGCCAGCGATGCTGGCTGAGCTGCCCCTCGGGGTCATTGGCTGCAGACAGCCCATGTCGCTGATCGGCCAGGCTGGCTGCCGTGGGAGCTGGGGTGTCGGTAGGAAGAGACACGTCTTCTGTTTCTGCAATACACCGCTGTGATTTTCATGGCCAGCCCTTCCCTGCTCTGGCTGTGTCCCGACCGGCTCATCCAGCCCTGCAGGGAGGAGTTCTCACAGGCTGGCTAGGAAACACGGGGCTACTGGGGTGTGGGTGATGCTGCTGCTCTGCCCGGCGTGGGAAATCCCTCTCCCTGCTCTGCAGCTTCCTGTAAATCGTTTGGTTGCTGTGGGCTGCAATGAGTTGCAGTGGCTTCACCACCTTGGCGTGGGTGGAGAGGCGCGGGAGGGCTGTGGGGGGATGTCCTGGCCTTCAGCAGGGTTTCAACCCTTCCCAACCTCTGGCCTTGGAGCGGTCTCCCTCCTTCCTGGGGCTCTGCAGGGCTGCCAGGCTGCAGGGCGCGGGGTGCCCCACACCAGACACGCTCACGTGCATGTGCCTGGTGTGCGCTGTCGCCGGCTGAGCCCCTCGCCGCGGTGGGACGGGAAGGATGGGGCAGTGGTTTGGGTATTGCTCCTGGGGCAGGGATCCAGGTTCAGCTTCCGCTTCTCACGGATACTTCTCTGCTCTTGGCAAATCGGTTCCTGTGTTTCCTCACCCTGCACGCTGTCCCTGTAGCCAGGGTCTTGGCAGCTGAAGGCAGTGGGCTGGCGTGACCGTGACAAGGGACTCTGCCCGCACATGCAATGTCTCCGCATCCGCGTTGTGAAACCGTTTCCTCTGGTTGGTGCTGCTGGTGCCCGTGGGTGCTGGTACTCGCCACGGGCCGTGCAGCACAGGCGTGCGGGATCTTGCCGTGGGCTAGTCCCTTGCGGCAGTGGCATTTACAAAGCAGGAAGCGATGGCACCTGAACATGCCGCTGCTCCTCTCCCCTGCCCGGGGCTGCCTGCCCTGTCGGATTGCAGATACTCTGAGGGCTGGAGCCCATCTGCTATGGGGATGGGCTGGGAGAGTTGAGGTGTTCAGCCTGGGGAAGGGAAGGCTCTGGCGGGACCTTAGAGCCCCTTCCAGTACCTAGGAGGGGCTACAAGAAAGCTGGGGGGAATTTTACAAGGGCAGGGAGTGACAGGAGAAAGAGGAACGGGGTTAAACTGGAAGAGGGGG